CCATCTCAGGTTATCATTAGGGGGAAATGACAGCAGCACAGTGTTCAATATATTGTACTTTCGGTATCTAAATGATACAATGTTGTTTACATTGCTCATGAGGACAGACCTATGGGACAGACCACCTTATTTGCAGATTCTTGAAATTGTAATTTGTAATTGATTGTGGATTTTGTATCCGGTTTTCACTTTATGTATCTTTATACAATGTTTACTACTTTGCTTATGAGGACAGACAGCCTTATTTACAGATTCTTGAAATTCAATTGTAATTTCATTTGTAAATAGTTACATTCATGTGGATTTATCCAGCTTGCACATTTGTATGCATGCACTTATAGGTGCATTTGTTGTTGTTGAAGGCCTGGCTGTTACAGTCTTTATTTACACTATTTTGTTGCAGGCCTACTGGCCTAGATGTTTATGCAGTTTTAAAGCACCTTGGCTTTGTTCTGAATGCACTTTGTTGTAGTTATCCTACAGAGAAAAGAAAATGCACTTGACTTGGAATTAATGTACTGTATGCATTCAAAAGTGCTGAATAAATGTTTTATGGACCCATAATAGTGATTATTATTTAAGTTAAGTTAATCATTTATTTTTCCATAATCAGGCAGCTGAACAACATTGGTAAAAAATGTATACATTATATATATATATTTCTATTAATCATTTTCGGCCTTTCGGCCAACTGTTTCCTATTTTCGGTATCGGTTTCGGTCAAGAATTTCCCATTCGGTGCACCCCTACTTTAAATGGAAGATTTAAAGTGATGTTTAAATCTTCCATTTAGGCCCTGCCCACTCGATCGGGTCGGCCGATACTGATTCCGGCGATCGGCCCCCAAAATTGGCGATCGGAACATCCCTAATATTTAGTAATATAACTGGCCACAACCTCACTGCTTGTTTGTGTTCACTTACAAACGCGGATACTTATTTTTAAACCTTGGCTATTTTGTTAATCGTCTGTTTGCCTCTTTATTTAATATGTAAGTCTACCCAGTTTATTTAGCCTTTTTATCTGCAATATCCCTTTTGCTGTAACAATGTCAATTTCACTGCTATGAGATGACGTTTTTTTAATTTCTGATGCCAATACCTAAACCAGATTTCTCATTTGTTTTGCAAGTCATATGAAAATGAATAAAAAGGAAAATAGTTCATTTGTGTGATCTCAGTGAGGATAACATATTAAAAGCAGTTTAAACAATTACAATATATTTTTTAAGTTGATATATATATATATATATATACACACACCAGAAAATAATCAGTGATCTAGTGTTTTGATATTTTTGTCTGTAAAATACAGTACGTTATTGTGACAGCTGACAGCGCTCGACACAAAGAGCTTCTGTTGCTCCAAACAATATTGTGCTGTCAGGAGTTTACTCTACATGCCTTAAGAAAAGCAATGGCTACGGACTGAAGCCATCACCACCGTGGAAAGCAGGTGTTGTCTGTCCAAAGAACATCGCACGTGAAACTCCAGAACCTCGAGAAGTCACGCCTTTTCATTCTTTTAAATACTTTCTGCAGCCTTGTTGTGCACACAAGCAACACTTCATGCGAGGAGCAACTTCACAAGGCTGCAACGATGATAACATGGAAGAGTGACACATACAAACACTCATTAGCATATGACATATCTAACAGTGACAACAAGAATAGAGTTGAGAAATCTTAAGTGAACAAACGGCATTTGCATGTATATTCACATTTTTTTATTGAAAGCAAATATTAAAATGTGGATTGGGACAATGAATCAAAATGACAAAAAAATTGGGCCAACTCAAGAAACGCCTTAAGACAGATGACATTACTCCTGACCTTCTAGCTGAAACATGAAAATTAGAAATACTTCACCGATATTATGGAAAGCTTAATGAACAATCTTAAGTTTCTCAACATATCTCTTTTCCAACTGGGACAATGTGTGATTAAAATACACTGAGTGCTATGGAAAGCAATCCATAACGTTTTTTTCTCGTTGTATAACAACAGGAAGCACATTGTCTTTGACAGGTTCCAACTGTTGTTTGTGCTTTTTCATATGTAATGCAACTCTGGTCTCAATCTCCACCATTGCTTCATGATTGATGAGCCCAAAATGTCTCTACCAAGCAGCACCAACACCAGCACCCCGAAGAGGGAGTCATTTCCTCCCCATGATGAAGCTTGGAGCCTCGGCATCATCTTCAGCCTCCCTTTCCCGCTCCCCATCGTCTTCTGAACTGCTTTCCGAGCTCTTCTCTGCATCGTCTTCTCCTTTGTTTTTGGACTCGAGTTTTGCCATCTTTGCCATCCGCATTTTGCGCTTCAGTTTTTCCCGCTTCTTCCTGCGTTTCGCTGTTCTATCATCGGCCGCCTGTTTGTTTAGCTCCACTTTATCGAGATATTCGATGTCCTCATTCACTTTCTCTGATATCTTTTCCAGAAAGTCTTGCCTTTGGTACTCCCTGCGTCGGAGGTGCCGGTAAACGTGGAACTCCCCGCTGCCCGCACCGGCGCTGGAGCCCATCACATCCCGGACGAACTCCGGAGGAGCCCGCGGGTTCCACTCCTTTGGCCGGTCTGGGATGGGAGCAGGCTTATCCGGGTTCCGCATCAACCTCTCCAACTTCAGGCGCTGCTCCTCTGCCGGAGTTTTGGCAATTATCAGAGGCTGCGACTCCTTTCCTCCAGGTTTCCTTGGCTTGTTATTCTTTTGAGTGTGCGCCGCCATCTTTCCAACCGTTCTCAATGCTTCGGAATGCTTCAGCCTTCCTCTCTTCTTCCGGTTTGTTCAAGTCGCCCCGGAAGTTCTTTAGGGGTTCCGTTACCTGGACATAATTATTTTACTCTTTTTTAATATAAGATTTTCCCAATAAAATACAAGTTGATAAGTTGTGTGATAGTGACTGTAGTTGTTATGAATTATTTTTGTATTAAATGATCACACTGTATCTTGTGTGTGCTCTTGTGCTTGTTGTGTGTGTATCTTGTGTAACTACGGTAATTGACGCACGTATGCACCAATCGCAGATCACATGAGAATTTGTTTGGGCGCAGTTGTCCAATCAGCGTTCATGTCCCGCCCCATCTCTCGAGCGTAACGTGTGTTGACTGCCTGGCTTTACTCCGGCTTGTTCAGAAGCAGGTTAGTCTATTTTTATGACATTTGTTCACGTCTGATAAAGACAAAACTCACCAAAGATCATGAACAGTTTAATTCGAATTACTGCGAGGTGTTTGCGGTCTGGAGCAGCCGTCTACATGCCCAGACAGGCCGGCGGACGAGTGTGGACGTCCTCGGCCCGGTTCCTGTGCGCGGCGGCGGACGTCCAGAAAGCCCTTGGAGATATTGTGCAGAAGGACAAAGTGGTTGTGTTTATGAAGGGGACTCCGGCCCAGCCTATGTGTGGCTTCAGTAACGCCGTAGTTCAGATCCTCCGGATGCACGGGGTGGACGACTACGCTTCGTACAACGTATTAGAGGACTCCGAGCTCCGAGAAGGTCAGCAAACTGAGATAACCTGTTCATGACATGACAGCAACAAGTTGTCACCTCTCAATCTAACTTGTTACTTTTACCTAAACTTCATAATGTTTGTCAGTGGAAGTGTTACTAGACATTTGCTTGTAATTGTTTTGACCAGATCATTGTTATGTCAGTCTGTTGCAGCTGTCATCGTCATTTATAACTATTTACAAGGCCACCATACACTCCAGCCCTTCTTCAACGGCTCTCTATCACTAGATTTAGAGATTTCCAAGTGTTACGTTTTTATCAGTGCTCTGCAGCAGCAGCAAAGGGTGGGGTCCTTTTTAAAAGTAGAACATGACACCACTACTGTGAAGATGTCTGTATTTTACTGCTAACACAACCATAACTGGAACCTTTCTTTGAAACAATGACATCACATGTCAATAAGGAACAAGGTAATATTTTTTTCAGTTACAACAGGACTGCCAGTTAATGGGATTTGGTCCTTTTAGGCTTGTGATGCAACAGCAGTGTAATGCCATGATAGGGACAAGCTGACTGGTTCAATTCTGCCAGAATCAAGGGCTATAAACTGGGTCAGGAAGTGTTCATGCATTATTCCAAGGTGGTTAGTTGTATTCGCACCACATTTAAAGTCTAAATTAGCTACTTATGTTGTGTTAATTTATTCTTTGCAGCTCCAAATGTAACCTTAGTAAAAATGACATCACTTGACTGGAATGCAGCCTTTTCAAACCAACACAACAACAAACAACAACAAAGACAACACTCATATAAGATATTATATGGCCATTATATTATATTATATTAACCCTAACCCTAACCATTAGCTATATATTATATTAAATGTATATATCCATTTAACTATATCCAAAATCTAAGAAGATATCATTCCGCGTATCACGATATAGCTATAATATGAATATAATGCACAGCCCTAATATTTGGCGTTATTAAAGTATACCATATTGTCCTTTATGACAGGTAAAGGTAGATTGTTGGACTTTTTAATTGATGTACTATTAACATTTGGTTCAAAAGTTATCTTTCCAACTTATTAACTGCTAACTTTACAAGCCCTCAAAACACTTTTAAGTTAGCAACATTATCCTAATCATGTTTGCTTATATCAATAAAACGTAATATATACTAATACAAAGGCCACCAAATAATGTCCATCTAGTGTAATGCTAAGTGGTATAGAACATATTCATTTTATTTTTAAATTATCTTTTCTTCGTGCTGTCATTGTTTTTTTAAAAGAAACACTGCACTGAGTTCCTGTCATGGTGGCTATCACTGCCTATGCTAACAGCTTAGCTCTTTAGTTTAAATCATACACACTGCGGTTGCTTAAAGCATCACTTCTTGTCAGCCGATACAGTATTGTCTGTAGTTTTATTTCTGACCAGTGACCACATCACAATCTTACGTCCACAGGAGTCAAGGCCTTCTCCAACTGGCCCACGATCCCCCAGGTGTACTTCAGCGGAGAGTTTGTGGGGGGGTGCGACATCCTGCTGCAGATGCATCAGAACGGAGATCTGGTGGAGGAGCTGAAGAAGTTGGGCATCAGCTCCTCACTGCTGGAGGCCGAGAAGGAATCCAAGTAGAGGATGAACGTCAAACAGCTGACCAGACGGAGGACACATTGATCAGGTCTAATCCTCCATGATGACGACGACAGATACACCATCTATAAAGTTTACTCAACTTTCCAAGCAGTTGAGTGGCAGCACTGTCATGGGAATCTTTACTATGTTTTATACGTAAACAGAGCTGCACTGCTAATACACTTCTGAATGTGCACAGATCATGTACCTGAGAGGTGAGGACTTTAAACTAGGAAGAATAAAAAGGGTCAACAGTGTCTCCACAGCATTTTCTAATTCATTTCTCATCTTTCTAGAGGCTGATTATTTTTGGGTTATTTAGAAAAACACAACAATGACAAAATCACTCTTTAACTTTATATTAAAAACTTGTTAGCATTCTTGTGTTTCTGGCCACAAAATGTCCTATTCACTTTCTATTTAACTGGGTTTTAAAAATGTTTAGCTCTTTAGCTGCACCAAACACTTCACTGGTTAGTTTCTAACTGTGAATATCTGCCACGTGGTACTGGGCATCTAGCAGACACTATGTTGATCAGAGTTTGGGGGCCAGAAAACCACAACAAAGATCTGGAAGACGTCGTCAAGCTTTATATGGTGATCATTCTATGTGTTTAGGTCAATAGGAGCAACCTCTTTTGCATAACAAACAGTAATTCATCAAAAAATAAATTGTTGATTATATCAGCTTTAATTTTCCCTTAACAAATGGTGGGAAACGTTGTCCTTTGCCGTCTGCTTCCTACTATGTGAATGCTTTTCAATCATCCTGATTCTCTAAATGCTAAATAGCAGACCTTTTTTCAAACAATAGAAACCGCTAAGTTGGCCTAATTTAGAGGCTTTTTGTAATAAATTCAGTAATGAACATCCAGATATGACCACACTGTTGGAGGAAATCATTTTGAAACCAGGTTGGACCTGCCTGAGGGAGACTTTCAGCTTCCCTCCCTGTGTTATTAATTAGTTTACACAAGAACTCTGGCAAACCTCCGTCATGTTGACCTCTAAAAGCTCCGCTAGCTAACTGTCTACCTTTTTTCCCCAAGCCCCAGTCTGTTTAAGACCAGATAAGCCTCATGGTACACTTGTTAACATCTATATAAGTCTGCTTGGGTCAAACCACAAAAATCTGTCATCATACTATAAAGCTTCTAAATGCACTGCCTGTAACTTCCTTTATCTAGAAGGAAGAACAACCACGGAGCAATACTCGTAATTGGTCAGAAAGTATCCCTTATGTATAATTATATCTCTTCAAAAATCGCCTTTTGTAGTGGAGGTCACTACAGTCATGGATCCCGTCTCACTAAGCTCTTAACATGCACTGTCCATATGACTGAGGAATACAGTGGTGCAGGAAAAAGTCCTAAAACCCAGAAATGAGTCAGCATTTTACCACTTCCCGCGTCTCTAAGTCAACGTTTTTGTTTGTGGTTTTTGGTTAGTTGCTTAATACAAGGTCTGTGGTTAACACAAGCTGAAGAGATTTTGTTCTGTGACATTAAATATGTCAGTAAGAGCAAATGTGTAAATGCTCAAAGCTTTTAATGCGTTGTGAAAACTGCAGTTGCTAACAGGGGGTTCGTTTTTAGCCTAGCGTTAGCTCTATACTTCTCTCGATTGCATTTATGCTTAAAAGAATCATTAAGTGGTGTTAATATTTGGATATTATCCTGCTGAACAACATTTCGTAGTATCATAAATGTGTTTACCAAAGATCTTATTTTCTACAATATTTCTAACACCATTACTTTTTGACAACCCACAAAAAAAGGTCATCACTGCACCACTATTGTCGCCTGTTTGTTCTTCCACACACACACACACACACACACACACACACACACACACACACACACACACACACACACACACACACACACACACACACACTCTCTCTCTTTCCCCGAAGACGGCACACGGACAAACAGGAGCAGTTAAACGTTTGTTGCGTCTGTGGTATATGTTAATTGATCACTGAAGGAAAAAGAGAAGTTTTATTTTTTGGAGGTGTATTTGTTGAGTCTAACCCCTTATGTTCCTTCTGCTGCACACAGCTGTATTATCAAAGCAATGGTCATGTAATACACTGTAAGATATTGTACATTGAAAGCATATTATTAAATGCATTTGAGCTGCATGTGAACCCTTCACCTATTTTGTGACAAATAAAAAGCCAATCCAGAGTTGTTTTTGTTTTTCTAACCAACTTTCAGAGAGGGCCTAATTTCAGTTTTGAGTTTTCAGGCTAATGTACAGATTCTGTTTAACAGTATCTGTCCAACGTTAGAAAATGTAACCGGGGAAATACCCATAGTTTTTCAATCTAGCAAAACAAATGTTTATTTTCCCATCGTTTGACTGATACATTGACTAATTGTTTCACCTCTAAATATGACTACTCTCAATCATAAGCACAATTTATTTTCTAAAGTATGTCAAATGTATCAGTTATTATAAAATGAATCTTCATTGCCTGGCTAAATTCTGTCTTTTACCTTTTTTTGTTAGAATGATTTGTTTTATCAAAAAATATTAAGCATGGAATTCCGTCATGCTTTTTGTAGATATACGCAGCTACACAATTAAGAGTAGTACTAACAAAAAACGAAATGAGTAAACTGAAAGGTCTTTTTTTTAAATAAGAATATTGACCTTTCCAAACTATTACAGTACATGACCTAGATTTGAGCCAAAGTATAAATATCAATCATTAAACCTCCTCAGTTTGAACTGTAGAGGAAGGTTTAATGATTGGTAGATGTGCCAGAAAGTGAGCCATCATCCATGTTTTATTCAATTGTGTGCTTTTTCCTGCTATTAGAAATGTAAAAAAGGGCCAATTATTCCTTTTCAAAAGATCTCAGAACATCCAATTCAGATACAGCAGGAACATTTTGTTCTCTCTTCAAAGCACTGAACATGTTCCTACTTACGGTCTGAAAACCTGCAACAGCTGATCACAAACACTGACAGGATCAGGGTTTAACCTATTTAAGGGTTTAAATACATTTTCAATAACATTTAAACATGTTTACACTTTCTTATTTTTTAAAACCAAGTTGAATAACGTGAGTTGCAAAGGACATTTGATTTGTTTTCTTTTCTGTTTCTCTATATTACAGTTTCCTGAATAAGGACACTGCAATTATATAAAACTCAGAGATGATCTAACAAAAACAATTTTAATTTTTAATACAAAATACTATTTTACAAAATATGGCTTGACAGTTACTGAGGTGGGACAGTCCAGTTCACAGCTCTTCGTCCTCCTCCACCATCATCTCTTTTTACCTTTGTAGTCCAATAAAGCAGAAAAACTAACAATACTGAGGCGTGATGAGGTCAGAGTTTCTGCAGGAAGCGCAGCACCAGGTCTCTCAGGGTGGTGCGCAGCGGCTCGTTGTTGTCACAGACGATATGAGTCCCGTCCTCCTCCAGCTGGATCAGAGTGTCCTCCGCCTGCAGGTGCAGAATGTGTCCGTCCGCCGTCTCCTCCACCTTCACTTCTGTGAAGCCGTGCTGCAGGGCGACAGATGAATGCAGCACGTTTTAAGGCGGGTTCATTCAGCAATGATGTGAAAATGTCACACAAAAAAGGCCTGAGTGAATGTTATACTGGTGTTATGCAAAAATGTTACATAAAGTGTCTGTAATGCTTGTGGATTTATAGTTTTTTTAGTTTTATTAAATTGAACAGACTGTGCCATGATGAAAAGCAGCAGGTGTTTTTTGCAAACTTTACAGAAGGCTTCTGAAGGACGTGGGCCTGTACATTCCTGCATCTGTGATCAAATCGTTGACCCTTTCTATAAAAACTACTAATCCTAAGAGTTTCAAATGAGGTAAAAATAATTTAACAGCTGGCTGCTAAATAATCAATTAGGGCAACATGATTTTTGAAAACATGATTTTCTATGATGTTGCATTTGCGATGTGATTAACGATATTGGGGATATTATGGCATCATTATTCTATTCTACCATCATTGAAAGATATATTCAAATTGTGTGCATCACCTTTTAGTGTCCCAGTTTCCGATGTGTTTTGTATTTGCAGCGCTTTTATTAAACATTGGCCTGTTTTGTCAAGTTGATGAATGATTTCTAAAATGCTGCGCTTGTGTTGAGAAGTTGGTGAAGATGCATCTTCATGTGCATGTGTTTTGGAAAATCGTTTTTTTGCAGCTCTTTTCTCCTAATGGAAAAGTTTTAGGCCGTTGTAGCGCTTTTGCATCTGTTGACCCCCGTAGATATGTACCAAACAAAGACGTATTTGTTAAGTCTGTAGAATATGAATTAACAAATACTATCTCATATTGAGATATGTTTACATTTAGATGAATTGTGCAGCCCTACAAACAACACTGAGGCTCCCATGAATGTCTGCAGATTTCTCACATTTTGCAGCGTGGCGAGGAAGGCCTCCAGGGGCACAGCTCCACTCAGCAGGGTTTTGGGGGCCAGCACTGCCGGAGGCTCCTCCAGCACCCGCTTCCTCTTCTTGCTGGGGGCCACTGGAGGGGGTTTGGGCACCAACTGGCAGCACAAGAGAGGGAAAAACATCAGCAAATATTTTTATATTTACACACTGGTATGTGTATTATGTGGCACAGATTCACAGGACCCACCTGCAGTGTGTGCTTGTTGTCTTTGGAGTGCAGCACTGCAGACACCGTTGCTAGGGAGACGCCGGGTTTGATCTCGGAGGGCACCAAGGAGTTGGCCAGCTACGAGAGGAAGAATCGGACATTTAGGACACCTGTGCTCTGATAGAATTCTATACACCATATGTCATCGCCTCCTGCCAACACATGAGACAATTTCAAATATGCTCTTACATCTGAGTCCAAAGGTTTTATCTTTTATTCAACAACCGGAGACAAGCTGAGGAAGAATAGAACATGAGTGACAGCTGTGATGCGACTCACCTCCGGCAGGATGTAGACGCGCTCGTAGCGGCGTCTGTGGGGCAGGTTGAGCACAGAGCAGCGCCTGTAGGGCATGGGGGGGGGCTGCAGCTCCAGCATGAGATCAGAGCGGTGGGACTGGGTCAGGGGGGGCTGGGTGTACTGCTCCGGACACACCACATGGAGGGGCTGCAGCACACAGGGAAATTAAAATCATCAATAGTGATTCAGCTGATTTGGCCATTGATTGAAATATTCTACAATTAAAATATATGAATTGTAACATTTATATATTTGCAGTGTTACTCACTGAGCTTTTCTTACTGCTGCAGATCCACATTAAAAGCATTTAACTGGCTGACAAACTTTAGATTACTTTTATTATGAAAGATTTACAGGAAATGCAAACTGTGTGCCAAGTCCCAAAAATCCACTACATTCGGTTCATAAAGTGAGGAGTTTTAGACAAAATGACATAATTCAAGATTTACAGGGTCACCTGAAACACTTAATGTTGTCGTTTGTGCTTTGCCTTTTGGCTTATAAAACTTTTTTTTATTTCCTGTTTCAGCCACAGGACTGGCTGACACTAATTGATTATTTGTGTTATTGCATAACTGTCCTTTCAATAGTTTTGCATGCAAGTACACAAAATATAAGAAAAAAAATGAACATGAGGCAGTCAATTCTGAGCTGGACAAACTTGAAATGTTCTGCCTTAAACTATAAGACTCCCTGTTCAGGTAGGTGCAATCCATTGTACTTCTTTTCCTTAGAATTCCTCAAGTGGAAAGTGCTAACAGTACATTATCTCTATTAATCAAAGGGGTTGGTAACATGACAAACCTGACCTGGACTTCCTTGAGCAGCTTTGACACCTGGTGGAAGTTGAGCCGTGTGTCGATGGGACAGTAAACACACTTCATGGCCAGCGGCTGGTAGGGAGCCAGAGCGTCCAGGTAGGAGAAGTCTGGCTCTGGTGGTGTGAAAGAAGAGTCAGAGAGGCATGTAGCAGCAGAGCATAGAGTGAGTCTTGAGAGGCTAGCGGTGCTTGTAATAGAATGATATTTACCAGTGAAGATGATGGTGTTGATGCTGGATTTGCCCCACAGCTCCATGAAGTGAACCACGTCCCCGAAGCGCAGAGAGGGGTGACCCGTGAACACAACGCAGGGCTGCCGGAACTCACTGCTGAAGTCTCCGTGGATACTGGGGTAGTGCTTCAACTTGTTGGTTTGGATCAACTGGAAGGGGGTGCAAGACAGAAGTCAACGTTATCGTTTCCTGTATATTCACATAACCGTTAAGACAACATTACTATAGAGTGGCGAAGTCCCTCCCCTTCTGGGGGAGCTCCATGGGACCTTATTTCGGAAAAATTATGTATTGAAGTCAATGGAGAGAGAAAGATTATCTTTCGATCCCGTTTGAATTGAGCCACGAATTACACATATGATGTTTGACAATAAAATGTATATTAAAATATACTTCCTAAATGTACATTTGTACACAGGTGTTCCAATGGATTTTAAGTGAATATTTAGGGTAGTATTGATGTTGAAAAGAGCATTTAGCATCTCTTTGAAAGCATGCATTTATAGTGAACACATACAATACATTGAACACTGCGAGATACTGATGTCATATAACTGATTATGAAAGGAGAAATCATCTCTAAGTTATTTATTCTCTTGCAGGGTAAGTTTGGTGCTCATTGGCCAGTATACAAAACATATATAAATCAGGATTTCTAACTATCCACTATCTCCGAAATGAAGTGTAGAAGACGCAGCAGGACTCACCTCTGCGTGGGGGAATGGGGGCTCTGGAAGATACACCTTTGATTGCTTGTTGTGGCACAACCTAAGAAAAGAAGGAGGAAATGGTCAATCTAATCAGAATGTCCCAGAAAAATCTTGGAAAACAAGCAAAAGCTTGCTTAAACAAGTATGATTGTAGGTATCCACAACAGTGTTAGCCAATCAGCACTGCTGTAAATATGCATGGTTTGAAATGTGTTTTTGAATATATTAACACGCTTTTGAACTAACATTAAAATCAAGAGATAAACTATTTACATACATGACAAGACTTTAGTCGGAGGCAATGCACCAATTTAACAGAAAAGTATCATCAGTAGAGACTGTGCTGCAGCAGCCTACAGCTTTTTACAGACTAACACTTATATTGGCTGTTGCATCTCCATTATTATAATTGTGGAAAGAAAAAGAAAAATCACAGGTAGAACCAAGAAAGGCACTCATAAAACTAAGACCTCTGTCAAGACCATGCCCAAGTAGTAATATTCTTTAAGCTGATTAAAAATGAGTGCTGCATAATTTAAAAACATTTCAATGAGTTCGTCCTTTGCCCGTGAACCAGGTTTCATTCAAATTAGGCAAGCACTTTTGTTTTATCCTGCTGACAAACCAAAATGAAAATGTGTTTGTTTGTCTAGGTACTGTTCAACAACAGATTTCTAAATTGGGGATATGTTAACAAACAGCATCTCACCATTCAGCGAAGATCTGAGAGAACTCCAGCGAGCTGTTGGCGACGGGGGAGATGAAGTAGAAGGGCGTGGTCCCCAGGTTGGCGCTGTCGATGAACTGGTACAGACACTCCAGCAGGTCGTAGATCACCCCCGAGGAGTAGCAGGGCACCAGCACGTTGCCTCCTGCTCGAATCGTCATGGCTACAGGCACGGATAAATAATAAATACTACATTACTAAATGAAAACACTCAAAATCAACAAAGAAAGAATATTTTAATGTCATACGCTCTATAAACATGTACTTTTTCATATCATAAAACTTTAATAAAAGTACATAAGGACTAACCAAGGTTGCTGCAGAATTCTCCCAGCATGCCGTCTGGGTTGGCGGTGGGCATCTGGGTGAGACCGGTCAGAATCAGAACGTCACTGTTCTTTAGGGAGCTCTGGTCCATTGGCTAGGAGGAGAAAAAGAGATACATTTACACCAGGGGCTGTATTCACAAAGGATCTTAGGGCTAAAAGTAGCTCCTAACTGGCGAATTTAGGAGAAACTCCTAAACATAAGTCAGTCTTAAATTTAGGACTCCTAATTTTATTCACTAAGAGCAATTCACAAAGTATTTTAGGCCTAAAAGTAGCACCTAAGTCTAGGAGAGCTTAAAAGTCCTCGAGAGGACTCCTAACTCAGTAAGACCTATTCACAAAGAATCTGAAAATGGCTGCGAGACGAAATGTTTTGGAGACAATGGAAGACTGTGAATTGATCAAGAGATATAGGCTAAATCGTGAGGGTATCAAACTTGTTGTGGAATTAGTGCGGGATGCAATAACATCCCGAACTAACAGGAATAACCCGATTAGTCCGGAAATAAAATGTTTGGCAACACTACGATATTTAGCAACAGGGAAAATGCAACTTTGCAGTGCCGACGATTTAGGAATATCGCAACCATCAGTCAGCCGTGCCATAAACCAAACCATCAACACGCTCTCTAGACCACATATCATCCAACAGTTTATCCGGTTTCCTTTGGACAATCAACAACTACACAGGATCAAAGCCAACTTCATGGCAATTGCAGGTATGCCCAGTGCGGTCGGTGCTATTGACGGGACGCACATAAAAATAATTGCGCCATCAAAAGATGAGGACGTGTTCGTCAATAGAAAGAAAGTACATTCCATCAACACGCAGATTGTTTTCATTCATCATGATAGGGGGACTTGAACGGCGGTATGGGCTGTTATTGAAAGTGTTTAAGTGCTGGAAATATGCTCATTGGATAATAGTTTGCGGGGTGCTTTTAATTGCCTCCTTGATTTAATGCAATTTACGTATTTTTATTGTTTGCTCTCTCTCTTTAACGTGCATATACAACGTCATTATTGTGGTCTGCACAAACTTGTCATCATGCATGTATTCTGCTAACTGCACTGTCCATAACTATTTGATAGGAATACATTTCTAGCCTAGGCTATTTCCTTGTTTTTCGGTGATTTAGTGGGCTCGTTTGTGGGATGTTGCGGATGAGTTTCACCGAGACCGCCTGCTCTGAACAACCAATCCCCGTACTGACCGCTTCTAAACTCATGCACGAGAATCGACGTAATCCATAGCAACGGCGCGTCACTCTTAGTTCACTCTTAGTGATTTATCCTTAGTATGAGTAGGTCTCAGCGGCTTTGTGAATAACTTTTAAGAAAAAACTCCTACGTAAAATGTTTTAGCGCGAGTTAGGAGCACTCCTCGCGGTAAGATAAAATGCTTTGTGAATACGGCCCCAGATCTGGAAAGCTGTTCCAGTTTCTTTTTAAAGATGATTTATTTGCACCAGCTTAGGTGCACTACGAAAGAGATAGATTTGAAAGGGGGAGATAGAAGGGATGACATGTGCAAGGAGAGTAAGTAAGTCTCAGTACATGGGCTTCTGCATATTCTGGTACCAGACACGATTGGTTTACAAAGAGGTTCATTTTTTCTCAAGCATTTGCTCAAATAAATTAGATAGAGCTCAGAGGGGAAATAACTGACGTTTGAAAGTTTACATAATAAGGTTTGATTATCTTCTTAGTTTACAGATTGTTTGGAAAGACAGTTCGTCCCTGAATAAATATTTGTATTCTCACCTGTTGTGCTTTTTATCTAGATTGTTTTTGTGTGAGATACAGAGTTTTTGCTTTTTCTCGAACATTGTGAAGCTAAAAGTGGAAAAATAATCAATTATAAAAACTATTCAGAAATGTCTCTTTCCAGAAATCATAATTGGTTACTTATGTCAACCCATAGACCTAGTTCTCACCAGAAAATATATACATTTTCTTCCTACCATATTAAAGCAGCCAACTGTATCACAACACTAAAGGACGCACGCATTTATTCTGAGGATTGCATTTATTATCATCTCGCACTGTCACAAGCAGGCTTGCAAAAACTTAATATTTCATTATTATTTCATTATTTGGGGGTGAACTCTCCCTTTGCAAATCTGCCATGTTAATTTAAATGTACTTCACATATATACACCTAGAATTAAGTAATATTAAGTGAAACTGCAAGACGAGGACAGAACACATTTCCTTACGGGGACAATAACATGCATTCTATTGTATGTAAAGATCTGTATCACATTTGGGGTGCTTGCAGGTTTTTTCTTTTTATGCCCATAATGTGTGATTTCCTCTAGCGTTAGAAATACCTGTGGATGTGTGGTGAGTAGGGAAGAACCCGACACATAGGAAACCTTCTCATGATGAGACTGGATGATCCAGTTAGAGCTGCCCAAAGAGTAACCGGAGCTTAAAGGGGAGACCTGTACCGCTCCAAACAACTCCTGGAGACAGAGAGAAGTTGTCAATAGGAGACAACAAAAATATATAAAAACTGAAAACGACAAGTATTTTAATAGCATGTAAAAGCATAACAATCCTGCAACACAGTGTGTACAGGATTGTGCATGAGAAAAACACTAATGTGCAAATGAAATGAAAACCATGCTCTTTTTCCTTTGAGTATTAACTAGATAAGAAGAATATATACTAATTATTACATGCACATTTCAACGGAGGCTCTCCAAACTGTACTAACTTTTTATTGCAAATACGCAACGTATTTTGAAAATGGTGCACGGAAATGGGCCATACACATGCACAATTGTTACATCTTGATTGTTGATTGTAACTGCAAAATAACATTTAAACACAAATAGAAGTTAATGGCTGTAAGGAAAATTATTTAATACATAATTCACGTTCTTCAAACAAAGATATGGTCTGTATTAGTATGGTTTAGTTGGAAGAAGAATTTGAGTTCTTACCACTTTCTGAGAATATCCCACAAGCTGCACTTTGCTGAGAGCCGAGTTGACCTCCTGAATGCTGTAGCTTCGTTTCCACGCCCACACATCTACTACATCCTTCAGGGGCCCAGGGAGCATCCTGATATAATAAACTTATATGAGAATCATAGTGTATTGTGGTAAATGCATTTGCTGGAATGTAACTGTAAACCAAAGCAAAACAAGATAAATAGAGGCAAAGACAAAAAAGCTAATATTAGATTTTCTTTTACGTATATGGTTTTCAATGTGACATTTTATCCTTTGAAATAAATACTTTCCACATCTACATATAGATAGCCCTTCTATATGTACCCACGGATAATCTTTTTAAAGTATTTTGCATAATCTTTTGGTTTTGTTTATTCACATAAAAGTTTTCCTACCTCTGCATTTCCTTATTTTTCCAGCAGGTGGCAGACTGGGCTTTGGGAACTCTCTCCATGAAGTTCACCAGCTCCTCCATAAACAGTCTGAGGAAAAGAACAGTCAGCATTATGAAAACATCCAGAAAACCCAGCCACTGTCCTTGGTTAACAACAGAACATAAGCCATGACATCATACATTATCCTTCAAACTAAGAAACACAAAATGAATAGTTAGACTTCTTTAGACCTGTGGCTTCAAAAACATTATGAAAATGGAAAGCATTATGCAAATAAAATGCACATTTTTCATTAAATTAACAAAAAAACAATATGACAAAGTTCAAATGTATTTTGTCTCTATACCTGCCAATGGTCAGGGTGGGTTCTGTGGCGTAGACTGTCCCAGTGAAGCCGGTGTGTTCAGTGATGTAGGGCAGGGCCATCATACAGTGGTAGTTAGAGATCAGGATGACATCAATGGTGGACAGATCCAGCAGTTCTCTCTGTGGCAAACGGGAGAAAAGGTTTATTGAGACCAAATGTGTTATTATTCTAGGTAGGGCATTTATTGTAACTTACATGAATATACTAGAATGTGGAAGGAAAAGTGAAGAAAAGTGAAAGGAAAATGTGAGTTGGTACATTGATATAGTAGATCATAAACAAAACTAAAATAGGCGGGCTATCCTGTTGGTTCCCTTTTCTATGCTAGCATCATTATAATTTCCTTCCTCCAAATCATTTATTTGAACTATTAAAATTGATTACTAAAGTAATACAGACTTGCATAAATATATTGTATGTGTGGCAGCAGAGTGTACTACCTCAGGGAGACAGAACTCTGGCTGTGAGTCCACAAACACTCTTCCTGCACACTCCTTCAGCTCCTACAAATTGAGAAAAAACAATGTGTTTACTTTTTTGACAAACAAATCTTGTGTTTGCACTTTACAGTCACTAGAAAAATAAATAATATAAGGCTAACCAAAAAATAAATAAGTTCAGAAACAGCTTAAATTCAAATGGTGAACTAAATACAACTCAAGCAACTTTTCCCACCTTCTGAAGGTTTGCTGATCCATCCTTAGAGACCCAACCAGGAAGCTTGGAAAGTCTGGGGCTGAGAACAAATAATGAATTCATCTAATCACAACAAGAACTCCAGTATTACATTAATCAATCAATAAATGAAAGCATTACTTATGTGCTCACCTGTGCACGAGAGGAAGGGGCAGGAAGTTGAGGACAGAGGTGGTGTCCAGCCCACAGTCCAGCATGATAGTGGTGGATTTGAACTTGAGGACATTGCAAGGCAGTGTAGGATGACCAGAGAGACAATACTGAGAGAAGGGAAAGCAATGACATTACGATACATGCATAATTCAGATCACATTTAGTACAGGCAGAGAATCTGTATGTCACTCAGACAAACAACTCTAAAATTAGTCTCATTGTAACAACACAATGCTCCTTTCATTAACAGTATATTAGTACCACTGGGTACTGTATACATTCACTTGTATAGCTGAGGCTGGGTAGTTAAGGTTAGCCTCACAGGATGATGGGAACCATGGATGTATGAGGACAGGACCAAACAGGGCTATTAGCTGCTAAGCTAACAGAGTAACTATAACTTAAGATATGGTAAACGATTTAGTAGCGCAGCGGTATCATCAGCTTGGCATGACTTTACTGTGTTAATACGGCTCACAGTCTGTTAACTCACCAATTTCATGTTTAACGCAGATTTATGAACATTTGTTATCTTTACTCGGCTATGCTAACACTGCATCCTCCTGCAGTGTTTTCAGGACTCCGCTCGTTTTGTTTCTCTGACGCTTGCCCTCTGCTGCCCTCTACAGGTGCGGAGTGCTACTTGAGATACAGTAAATACATTATACAGGCAAGCTAATTATTAGCACCTTGTTGATGTTTGAAACTGCCAAGAAAAGCCACTATGCTTCACAAAATGTTAAAAACATGTCAACCAAAGCGTCGATAACTGCTGTCAACAAATGCACGTGCGCATAGTGCTGTCAGTCACGTTCGCAGGCTCAAGCCAGAGCCATACAACACTCAGTTTAAGAAAAACTGAAAGGTGTAGTGAAAACATTATCATGATAATATGTCAGCCCGATACATGGGATACATGACGTTGTATTGTGTTGACTTTAGAGGCTGTTGTTAGCCACCCAGCGGTGGGGCGGCTGCTAAATAAACACTCCATTCACTACTCTGGTTTGGCCCCCTCCCATGCTAGTAGCTGCTAGCTAACCACAGAAACTAACGACCGACTAACGACTCCCGAGTGACTCCTATCGGTATATAGAAATTAAATTGGTCACGTAACAATGTTGCGAAACTAATGTAGTAACACTTGGCACCCAGCTTTTTCTGTTTTCCCGGTAGGTCTCTCTTTTTTGTTAAATAGATCTACTGGTGTTTTTGTGGCTAGCAGCTTATCAGAAGATACCGAGGTTATCTCGGTTTAGACGCTACTGAGGTCGATGTTTTCTCATGGAGGACTTGTACAGTTATTAGCCAAGAGGATATACGAGTGGGCAAGGACAGGTAGGGGTTGAAACGCCACATTGTTACCGTCAAATAAACGTGTATATAGCTAGTTGAAAACAGCTGTAATGTTACGCATGGCTATTACATCAATGTACACTTCGGCATGCAATGACAACAGGTGGATCAACTCAGGTAGTAGAAGTAATCTGATATTGTACTTAAGTAAAAGTAGAAATACCAGAGTGTATGAATACTAAATTGGCATCAAAATATACTCAAAGTACCAAAAGTTAAAGTAGTCGTTATGCTGATTGGCCCATTTCAGAATAGTATATATTATATGTTTTGATTATAATTATTGATCATTAAAGTGTTATCAAAGCTGGTAAAGGTGCAGCTAGTATACTTTGTAAACTGCAGGGTAGCTTGTGAATTTACTCCATGTGTAACCAAAGTCTGATTTAAGAGTTGTTTTGATGTCACATTATTAATCCATCGTTAAAACATCACTAGTAATGTGCAGAGATGGTGAGCATTTTTGATACTGTTTAATAAGTGTATACAATTGAAACTATCCATAACTCTTTGTTATTTAAAATGCACTGCCTGAAACCAGAATCATCTGTGAGTGGTTTTTCTTTTTTGCCAAGTCATGTTAGGTCAAGATCAGGTAATCTTCACTGTCACATAGTCATTACTTCCTGTCGAGTGTGACAGGGTGTTTCTATCAAACAAGTCTATCTGTCTTTGTCAGACCACAGGAGGTACACACTCGGTTTGTTCGCCATGGGGAACACCTGCAGTAATCATCTTGGGATTCCTCAAGGCAAGGGCCCTAATGCTGTGGGGTGCACTGACTTCATGATGGACCACACCGCTCAGGTAAAAGCAGATAAAGACACCATCTTTATGGCTAAATATGTTACTATTTATTTAGATATAACATGTGAAATTATTCAACTGTGCAATACTCATATCACTTAGGAACGTTACTCTAATACACTGTACATCTAGAGCAAACATGTAGCATTAATATCTATATTTATTCTAATACACAAATGTATTTATTGTAATATACCCATTTGTACATCTTTATTGTTGTTATATATTGTAGCACATTTTTAGTTCTGATGTTTATATAAATCATTTTTATTTTTATTATTTTTTCGAAATAATGGAGCAACCTTTATGAAACACATTTTCCCCCCTGGGATAAATAAAATTATTCTGATTCTGATCCGGATGGAGAAATATCATATTTTCTTCCCAAAAAGGAAAAAGAGATGCATTGGAAATAAATATGATTAATCTAGAATACCACTGAATTACAGCATTGTTTAAAGCCACAGTACATTTATTTGATATGGACAGCACACCTAGATATATTTTCTACTGTTGGATCACAGCTAATGTAGCTGCTATTAATCTGTTTAGTTAGCAGGATTAAGAAGATGTAACGCATTCCATTATGACCTGCATTAGTCACACTCAGCAGTTCAACAAAGAGTTTCAAAGTTCAACATGATTACGATACAGAAACTGTACCAAAAATATATTATGAAATATGTTTGAGACCCAGACAAACAGTATTTGTTTGCTTTATTCTGCATGCAAATTTAAAGAGTAAGTGTCAGCTAATAACACTGTTTCTTTATCTGTTTTCCGCTTACAGGGGAGCTTCTTCCGGCTTTACTATCCTTGTCAAGAGACTGAAAAACCTGACAGACCAGACTGGGTTCCGTGTGTGGAATATTTTAATGGTCTGGCAGATTTTATGAAGATAAACAGGAGTCTCAGTGAAAGGATTTTCAACTACCTCTTTGGTGATTATACTCAAATAATAACAAGCGCAAGTTTTAAACAAGTTTATGCTGCCTTAACTCGTCTTTCCTGGACCAGACTAGGACTCTTCACATGTTTTCGTTTATGTAATACACAAGTAACATACTTTACCCCTAAACCCTAAAGTGTTTCAAGGTGTTTTAGACTTTAGAATGTTTTTCCAAGCAGACAAATGATAATTTCTATGTATATCTTCTATTCTAAGTCCGCTAAAGAACTTTCTTGCATGAAGTAATTTGTATTTTTATCAAAGTGATTTTTCGAATTTTAAGTTTTCATATTTTCTTTGAATTCAACTAAAATTATAAATTAACCAACTGTGGTGAGTTTCAATTATGCAAGTTCATTTTCTCACTGAGAACCAGCAGTTTTTTAAAAGGAGTGGAAGTTTACAAAACCATAGTATGCTTTTGGAAATCGTTATCAGTTATAAAGCGTCTCCATACCCTTTAGCAAAGTAGATCAAATTGATCAAAACAGTGGTGTTGTGCTTTAAGAACTCATGTTTTGTCGTTTGTTTTCAGGGTCCTTCAAGATTCCAGCCTCCTTGGACGCTCCCTTTAAATCCAATGAAAAATGTCCAGTAGTTATCTTCTCCCACGGCCTTGGAGCTTTTAGGTATAAACATGAACTCCTTCAGTATTAACTCATTGTTGATTATGTTCACTTATCAGCTTCTACGAATGGTGTGATTAATATCTCTCTTGTTTACGCTTGCTAGGACTTTGTATTCAGCTATATGTGCAGAATTGGCCTCTCAGGGCTTCATCGTGGCGTCTGTGGAACACAGGTATTTTTCAAAGTTTATTTTTTATTTAAATACCCGTAACAAACAACAATATTACGACATCTAGATATGACCCCAAAAAATCGGAAAAAACTCAAATGACACAAAAACGAAACAACTAAGTACTAGACTAATTAAAATACATTAAGAAACTGAACTACAAATATGACAAATTGTGCTAGTAAGTGTTTTATATAGTCACACTCCCCCGTAAAGCACTTTCCCCCCCAATTTCCTGTTCTGTTATGCTACTTTTAAATTATATGTAGCGATAATCCTTTCAAAAAGAAAAATGAATTTCTTTAAGTATTCATCTTGAGTATCAATATATATTGTGTAACTGACCATACCATTACAATTAATGATATGAAAGGAAATCAGCCATGCCATCTAGTATATTTATTTATTTAAAAAAACAAGCCTAGTTTTTAAAAAAGTATTACCTATTAAAAGTCTCTTAACCATTCTCAGTTAATCCTTTGTTTACTTGATCGTGGATATGATTCTTTTTCAATAAATACACATAGCGCTTCTTGTTCAAACATCCCTAATGTTTTAGCTATAGATCTTTCTTGTCTCTTGTCAAACTGACATGTTTACTGAACAAAGAACATGTGGCAACCTGTTGGAGGACGTTTTAGCCATGCAAATAACATGGCAGTCTCCCCTGCTAGCGTTGGTCTGTTGATGTGAGCAGTAGGAGGGGACAGGCTGTGCAACAATAGTACGAACCAGCTCATCACATTTCTTTTCAGTATAGAGACAAGGGGACCGTATGGAGATGAACATAATGGCCACAGTTAGTCACTCTTGTGGGTTGAAGTGGTATTTAAATCCACAGAAAAAGACATGTGCCAGTGTTGTGACATCAGACAGACTTTGTTTCATGCTCAGAGGTCAGTCAGCCGACCAGCCACCGCTGCTTATGTCACGTTAGTATGTTGAGTCTGTTACCACAAACAAACCAGAACAGTCACAAAGAACGTTGGTTGTCTTCCAGCCTCATGAGTAATTCACCGTCGGGAGTATAAACAGGTTGAAAAAAGAGAAATTCAGGCTTTACACTCATGAGTCTGTAATAGATTGAGAACTAGTCAAAGATTTTGAATACGAAGATCACATATCAGATGTATTAATCAGATTATGTGTCCGTTTCTTATTTACTTGAAACAGTATGCATTAAAGGGGCCATATTATACTTATTTTCAGGTTCCTATTTGTATTTTGTCCCTCTACAGCAGGGGTTCTCAAAGTTTTGATGAGTGAGGGCCAATTTAGGTACCCAATATTGGATTGAGGGCCGCCCAAGAAAAAACGGAACACAAAATTCCAAAACAAATCTTTTCTTTATTGCACACACACACACACACACACACACACACACACACACACACACACACACACACACACACACACACACACACACACACACACACACACACACACACACACACACACACACACACACACACAGAGAGTATTGCGCTGGAGTTAGTGATATGCTGTGGATTTCCTGTCTTATCAGCAGGGCCCTGTTTCAG